AAAAAAAAAAAAAAACCAAAAAAAACCCTGCTTCCATTAATGTGCACTAGGAAGAAAGCAGGTCTTTGTATCTTTGCCTGCTTTTTTTTGTCAGTGCTTCTCTGTGTCAGTAAGTATGCAAGAAGCTCCCCTGACAAGATCAATGCTAACATGAAAGCAGCAGGGGAATGACAATTCTCAAACCCCCAAACTAAACTGTTGCGGCAACTTTAGAACAAGAATCTCTTTCACCCTCAACAAGCTAGGACAACAGAAACAGTAGTGATCCTTGGATTTTACATCATCATTCACAGACATTAACTCCTGCTTTTGAAACACATTACAACTGTGCTTTCTTTCTTTCTTTCTTTCTTTTTTTTGAGACAGGATCTCGCCCTGTCACTCAGTCTAGAGTGCAGTGGTGTGATCTTGGGTCACTACAGCTTTGACCTCCCAGGCTCAGGCGATCCTCCCAGATCAGCCTCCTAAGTAGCTGCAACTATAGGTTTGTACCACCACACCCAGCCAATTTTTGTATTTTTGGTAGAAGACAGCCTGGGCAACATGGCAAAACCCCATCTCTACAGAAAATTCAAAAAATTAGCTGGGCATGGTGGCATACACCTGCAGTCCCAGATACTCAGGAGGTTGAGGTGGGAGGATTAACCTGAGCCTGGGAGGTCTAGGCTGCAGTGAGCTATGACGGCACCACTACACTTCAGCCTGAGTAACAGAGTGAGAACGGCTTCAAAAAAAAACCAACCAAACAAACAAAAAACCACAGAAAATAAAAACACATGAACAGCTAATGAATCTGTCTGGTCCCCCAAATAAGAAGTTGAAATGGGAGAATCTGGGGCTGATTTAAAGGAAGATAGAACTGAGGTAGGTCTAGAAGAAAGTATCTAATGTGGAAGTCGAAGAGGAAGGCAACAATGAAGACGATGCAGCCAGAAGGGGAATCTGGAGGCAAGGAGGCTGGGAATGTGTGACTTGAGGTGGAAGGCAAGAAATGTGCTCCTGCAATTCAGCCAGCTGCAAAAATGACTGCAATGAAAGCAGCCATGGCACCACACACATTACATAAGACTACAGGGGTGCTCTCTCTGGGGAAGCTGACGACAGTATTTGGAGCCTGTGTTTTACGAAACTGGATTTGTCACTGAAGACTGACTGAAGTGGAAAAGTTAATAGTTAAAAATGTCTGCCTAGAGAACACACATAGGCTGATATCTGTGTCAAGTATAAAGAAAAACTATACTACTGGTTTCTCCCTAGCATTTTATGCTAAATAACTTTTGGCTCTTTGGGGCTCCTTTCATTATTATAAACGAAATTTACTACTCAATAGAGAAGTAGCCATGAAGTTAACAAGCATAGGTTAAAATAAATCTCTGGTGTCAGAATGCATCTGGAATTCTGTGACTTCATGTTCTAGGGAATTTTAAGATGTCACCAGGAAGGTAAAAGCTAAATGTAACCCTGAAGGTTATGAATAATTACAGACTAGAAATACTATCTTCTGGATAAGAAGGCTGTCTCTTACCCCTCAAAGTAATCCCTTTAACAATCACCACCACTAATAAAAGGGATTGTAGCCAAATGTGGACAGCATTTCATAAAGCCTACATATATACCAAACCACCACCACCACCCCAGACCTGCATTCCCCTACCTGTGATGGAGGGGAGGTGGAAAAAGAGGTGGTACACACTTCTTGAGAGTCTTCTACAGATGGATATGTTACTCCAGTGTCCTCGCCAGCAGTTCTAAAGTGAAAAAAAAGAAACAATGAATTTTATGGTGGTGAAAGTCAATTTCAGAAAGGCTACAAAAGGCGATTAGATAAGGATGGGAGCATGCTAACAACTGTTTCACACAGTTCATACTGTCAAGAAAGGCATGTGGAGTCCTCAATAATTTCAAACATTCCAGAGAGTAGCATTCAGAGGTTTGACATTTTGTTCTTGTTTTTAATTTTTTTGAGACAAGGTCTCACTCTGTCACCCAGACTAGAATGCTGTGGCATGGCTCACTGCAACCTTCCCAGGCCCAAACGATCCTTCTGCTTCAGCTGTCCTAGTAACTGGGACTACAGGAATGTGCCATCATGCTCAGCTAACTTTTAATTTTTTGTAGAGACAGGGGTCCCCCTATATTACCCAGGCTGGTCTTGAACTCCTAAGATCAAGCAATCCTCCTGCCTTGGCCTCCCAAAGTGCCGGGGTTACAGGTGTGAGCCACCACATCCAGCCTGTTTTGTTATTTAAACCCAAACTTCTTACCTGGCGTATTATTTGAGAGAGGATTTTTTTTTTTTTAATTAGTAGAGACGGCGTTTCACAATGTTGCCCAGGCTGATCTTGAACTCCTGAACTCGAGAAATCCACCCATCTCAGCCTCCCAAAGTGTTGGGATTACAGGCATTACCCACCATACCTGGCCTGAGAGCATTTTTTTAAGCAAGGCCAGTGGTGGAGCTCACATCTGGGTTTTCAAAGAATTATCATTAACAGAGACTCCATAAAACAAGTAACTAAACCCTAAAGACAAGCTATTCAATTTCACAAGTCTATCACATAAAGGTAGTATCCTTACTGATACACATCTATTCCAACCCTTAGAGAATTCTGTTTTCTGAGTTCCAGACCTAGAAACACTTTATTCTGATATAAACTAATGTGCTAGATGGTAACCTGAAAACCAATTAATTTGCCAACCATATTCCACAAATCATTGCCACTCTTCTAAGGCTCTAAGTAACCTGTAACTGAAAAAAGTCTGTTTTTTTGTTTTGTTTTGAGATGGAGTCTCACTCTGTAGCCGAGGCTGAAGTGCAGTGGCGCAATGTTGGCTCACTGGAACCTCCGCCTCCCAGGTTCAAGTAATTCTCCTGCCTCAGACTCCCAAGTAGCTGGGATTACAGGCATAAGCTGGCATGCCCAGCTAATTTTTGTCTTTTTAGTAGAGATGGGGTTTCACCAAGAAAAGTCTTAACAGTAGCATCAAGATCCAAAATATCCCAAGAATTTTCTGAGACAGTCTGTATGCCCTAAGTCTTGGTGTACCTAAGAGGGAGCAGAAAGAAGGGAAACTGGCCCATTTGATTTATCTCCATGTGGGGTCTCCATCAGTGACCCTCTGCCCATTGGAGAGTGAGTGCTGAGAAGGGTGTTCTGTGCACCTGTGCAGAATGGATGCTTCTGCCCAGCTCCAGTTTGGGAGAGCACCTTTTCACTTTCCTCACCTGTAATTGCAGGGGTGCATGGGAGACGAACTGGGATAGGGACGGTCCACAAAGTGATCAATAATAATCCCCATGATAGGTGGGGTCCTCTCAAATTGCCTGTAATACAATAAGCAGATTCCAATATTTGTTAGAATGCCTTTCCAGCCCCCACAAAGTCCTCAGAGGGCCCCTCGCCTTACATCTGTTGGCAGGCACTACCAGAGCTTTAGCTATCATAATCCCTAAATATAAACCACCAATCCTATGTTCTGGACAAATTGGCTCTGGGACACTCAAATTCTGCAATCTGGCAACTGTGTTCTCTTTCTTGACTTTATTCTTCTGAAGGCACTGCTTTCAGCAAAGCTGAATTGTAGAGTTAGTCTTGAAGTTTAGGAGAAAAAAAATGCTAACACCTTTGGAAGATTTCTTTCGGATTCCAGTGCTCTTCCTCACCTGGTAGACATGAAGGCCAAGTTAATTCTGTAAGCACAAGAAAGAGTGATGGTGCCCACAGGAGTGCCCACTGTCCCAACACGAACTGTCTGGAAGCCTAGGAGAAGAGATACATTATTAACTTTTTTTGCAGAGAACACTGATATTGCCCATAGACCATCTTTCCCTGAATTATTTGGCCTATTGTATGATTTCTGGCATTATCCACTTAGCATGTTAAGTGCAGCAGCCTCAATTTCATGTGTGTACGCATGTGTGTGTATATATAGGTTTCTATGTATTGAGCCAATATTGGCAGGGGAAATAGCACTCTATTTACAGATAAAGCTACCTTCCAAGAGATAAGATAACTGTTAGTCTTAAAGCCAGACAAAGTTCTACTAACCAGCCCTGAAAAGATATGTCACATGCTAAAAAAGACAGTGAAGGAGCACTAGAATGTCACACAAACACCTCAATTTCAGAAATAACTGCCTTCCCCCAAGCTGCCACTCCAGAGCTAAATGAAGACCCATGACCTTGCAAGTGGCACTTTTAATAAAGCTTTCATGATTTTCTTGGTTTCATTTCCATTTTTTCAAAATTCTTGGTGTTCATCAGAAACATTTAACTTCCTCATTGTAGAAAATTAGGAAAATAGACAGTTTTATAAAGAGTAAGAAAGAAGACTGAGTTCCTGGAACTTTGGGAAAAATTATTTGGTTACCCCTGGCAGATGCTTGGACCACCTACCTGCATTCTTATCTTTTCTTTACTTGTATTATGCATATTAAGACAACCATCTACATATTATAACAAGTAGAAACCAAACTCATCTCTGAAGTTATGAGAGTTCTGAACACTATGAATGTTTTTCAACCTTGATACATACCTTCTCCTAAGCCAGTCAGCTGAACTTCCCCAAAATATATCCTGTATGGAAGAAAAAATAAGAAATGTTACCGGATTCTTTACTCCTAAACGCCTCTATAGCCCAAACACCTAGAAACAAAATAAATAAAACAAAGTCTTCTTTACTCATCTGCACAAACACCTCTCCTGATGAAGCATTAATAATTCCTACTTCTCCAATTAAGCTGCAGGCATAGAGATGTATACAGAGTGGGTTGGTTAAAAAATAAAGAAAATACGGCCAGGCACAATGGCTTAAGCTTGTGATCCCAGTACTTTTGGAGGCTGAGGTGGGAGGGGAGACCCCCTCCTCTCCTCCCGCTTCCTGGCCTCCACCTCCTCCTCGCCTCTGGATGGAAAGAAGAGTGAAAAAGAGATAAAATACCAAAGAACTTGAATCAGCGGTCAGACAACTTGCTGACGCCACTGACCAGGCCATAAAGAGGCCCAAGGACTGGGAATATGACTCCCTTTTTGGTTCCCATCCTCTCTGCTATCTATAAGCCTTGAAAAGAGTTACAAAGAATGTTATCACTACTGGCCGGAGCCAGGCACTGGGTCATGTCCTCCATGTCTGCACGACCCAGGCCCCCTCCTGGAAATACCTCTGCCAATTAATAATTTACTGCCTTTGTCTTGTCTCTGTAAGCCCCCTGCCCTGCCTGTTCCCACTCATGCTACATATGAACTAGCAAATCAATGAGCCAAAGGTTGTGAGGTCAAATGTACAGCCAATGGACAATGAAACAGTTTTTCCTCAGTTTCCCCTTTAGATTGTAAGCCTATAAAAAAAGGAAAGATCTGCTTCACCAGGTGGTCAAGGCATTAGCCTCCCATAGCTGAATAAAAAGCCACTTCCTTTCTCAGTTCAGTGTTCAAGAGATTTGTTCCCCGCCAATCCTGCTACAGGAGCTGGAGGATCACTTGAGGCCAGGAGTTCAAGACCAGCCTGGGCAACATACCAAGACCCTGCATCAGCAAAAAATAAATTTGCCAGGTGTGACGGTGCATGCCTGTAGTCCCAGATACCTGGGAGGCTGAGGTGAGAGGATCACTTGAGACCAGGAAGTTGATGCTGCAGCGGGCCAAGAATGTACCACTGCCTTCCAGCCTGGGCAACAGGAGTGAGACCTGGTCTCAAAAAAAAAAAACGAGGAAAATAATAATTAAATGGAAACTGCTATTTAAGCTTCTTCTCTCTTTTTCTACAACATATTTTAAAATTATATCTACTGAGAAATAAATAATATATATATAAAAGAGTGGCCAGTAAGTCTAGTATTGCTTCTAGAAGGCACCAGTTTTTTTTCTTTTTTTTTTTTTGAGATAGTGTCTTGCTCTGTTGCCCAGGCTGGAGTGCAGTGGTACGATCTTGGGCACTGCAACCTCTGCCTCCTGGGTTCAAGTGTTTCTCCTGCCTCAGCCTCCTGAGTAGCTGGGACTACAGGTGTGCACCGCCAAGCCTGGATACCTTTTGTATTTTTAGAAGAGACGGGGTTTCACCATGCTGGTCACACTGGTCTTGAGCTCCTGACCTCATGATGCACCCACCTTGGCCTCCCAAAGAGCTAGGATTACAGGCATGAGCCACCGCATCTGGCCTGGGTTTTTTTTAAAAGTAATTTTTTGGTAAAGACAGGGTCTCACTATGTTCCCCAGGCTGGTCACAAACTCCTGGCCTCAACTGTTATTTTTTTTGTTTTGTTTTGTTTTGAGACGGGAGTTTTGCTCTTGTTGGACAGGCTGGAGTGCAACCTCCACCTCCCAGGTTCAAGCGATTCTCCTGCCTCAGTCTCCTGCTGAGTAGTTGGGATTACAGGCATGTACTATCAGGCCCGGCTACTTTTGTATTTTTTAGCAGAGACGGGGTTTCTCCATGCTGGACAGGCTGGTTTTGAACTCCCAACCTCAGGTGATTAGCCTGCCTCAGCCTCCCAAAGTGCTGGGATTATAGGCGTGAGCCACTTGCCTGGTCATGGAGAAATCTCTAAGTAAACAGCTTAACAAAATAGAAAATTTTTTCCACAATGGAATAATTAACTAGGTAAGACTATTCTGAAAAAAATAAAAACATAAACATAGTGGAACCTTCTATGATTCTTCCCGGACAGGCCAGTCTATATTAGCAAAAATTTGAATTAAAAACACCTAAAATCTGTTTTCATATTTTTCAAGTAATATTGATAAAAATTAAATATAAGCTGGGTGCAGTGGCTTACGCCTCTAGTCCCAGCACTTTGGGAGGCTGAGGCAGGTGGATCACCTGAGGTCATGACTTAGAGATCGGCTGGCCAACATAGTGAAACCCTGTCTCTATTAAAAATACAAACTCTCAGCTGGGCATGGTGGTGGGCGCCTGTAATCCCAGCTACTAGGAAGGCTAACGCAGGAGAATTGCTTGAACCCAGGAGGTGGAGGTTGCACTGAGCCAAGATCACACCATTGTACTCCAGTCTGGGCAACAAGAACGAAACTCCATCTCAAAAATAAAATAAAATAAAAAATATATATATGGGTTTATTCAATAAATACTAAGCTCCAGCAATGTATGAAGCTTCATGATTAGATATTAGGAATGAAATAAAGATAAATATGAATCCTAGGTCTTAAGGACTATAGTCTTGTGTGACAGAAAAGAAATGTAGCCAGGTGCAGTGGATCACATCTGCAATCTCAGCACTCTAGGAGGCCAAAGTGGCAGATCACTTGAGGTCAGGAGTTCGAAACCAGCCTGGCCAGCATAGTGAAACCCCGTCTCTAATAAAAATAGAAAAATCAGCCAGCCATGATGGTATATACCTATAATCTCAGCTACTCAAGAGGCTGAGGCACAAGAATTGCTTGAACCCAGGAGGCGGAGGTTGTAGTGAGCCAAGATTGTGCCACTGCACGCCAGCCTAAGTGACAAAGTAAGGCTCCACCTCAAAAAAAAAAAAAAAAAAGAGAGAAAATAAAATAAATGTATATAAATATCTGAAATACAAGCCCCAAATTAACTACAGATCAGACAGACAAAAGATACTAAAAAGCAGGGATCAGCAAACCTTTCCGCAAAAGATCAAATAGTAAATATTTTAGGTTTGTGGGCCATATAGGTAGGGTGTAACAACTGTTCAGCTTTCTGTTGTATTACAAAAGTAGCCATAGACAATATGTAAACAAATGGGAAGGCTGTGTTCTAAAAAAACTTTATTTATAAAAACAAGCAGATGGTCAGCTGACCATAGTTTAGTGACTCTTGCCATAAAGTAATATAGGAACAATGTTAATAGAGTGTTGCTAAAAGAGATCTTGCTAAGTAAATACCCTTTAACAAAAAGCTGAGACTTAGGCAGTTCACTATTCATGTAAATACTGATACACTGTTTAAATCTGCTAAACATTTTCTTGGCTATATATATATTTTTGAGACAGGGTCCCGCTCTCTGTCACCCAGGCTGGAGTGCAATGGTGTGATGGCTCACTGTAGCCTTGACCTTCTGGATGCAAGCAATTCTCCCTCAGCCTCCTGAGTAGCTGGGACTACTTCCTTGAGGTTCACAAGGAAGGCTGGATAGTGATCATATAAAAGCAACAGCATCAATAATCCAACAAACCAAACAACTGTCAAAAACATCATCACAGAACACCTAAGTGCCAGTCAATGTGCAAAGTGAGGAGGCTGATAAGTGAATTAAGATGGGCATCTATGCTGTTTACCTGTATAATATGACATATTCATGCCCTTGTTTTCTGGAGAGCCTGTAGGCTGGTGTCACCCTAGTTATAGCAAGAAGAGACTTCAGCAGCAATGACAGTCTGTTGTACACCGTGTAGGAAACTTTGATTTCTTTATCACACCTGCCGGACACAAAGATAGGGTCAGCATTTTCCTGGTAAGCACTGGAGCTACACAAGACCAAATTTGTTATTAAAACATGTTCTGAACTAACCGGAGAACTCTAATTATATCTTTATCAACAGATTATTGAGGTAAGCCAATGTTTATTTTCTCATATTCTAGACATAAGCAGATGAGCACCAAAAAGCACTCAATATATTTTTTTCTAGCTTCAATGTGGTTATTTTTTTTTAAGAAATAAAGAAGCACAACTGAAAACAAATAAACATTGCAATTATATATACTGAAGGTACAGACGTACTATCCTATGAGCTGTCTATCTCAATAATCTAACAGCAGTCTGAAGAAAAGTCAGCTTGGTACTGAAATTCTGGGCCATAACCTGGCAATTACATTTTTTTTTTTTTTTTTTTTGAGATGGAGTCTCGCTCAGCCGCCCAGGCTGGACTGCAATGGTGCATTCTCGGCACACTGCAACCTCCTCCTCTCAGGTTCAAGAGGTCCTCCAGCCTCAGTCTCCTGAGTAGCTGGGATTACAGGTGCATGCCACCATGTCCAGCTAATTTTTTTGTATTTTTAGTAGAGTCAAGATTTCACCATGTTGGCCAGGCTGGTCTCAAACTCCTGACCTCAGGTGATCTACCCACCTGGGCCTCCCAAAGTGCCGGGATTACAGGCGTGAGCCACCATGCCCAGCCTGTACTGTATTCAATAAAGAAAATTAATGCCTACCACATATACTTATCACTAAGATTTTCTTTTGCTGTGTTGATATTTCCTCAATTTTCCTATATACTCTTCCTAAAAACTGAAGCTTCAGGCAGGAGGTAAGCTAATCTGTCTTGAAAGATGAAAATGAGGGAAGGAAATAACATGCATTTCTAATCCATGACCCCATACAGTCTGTAAAAAGGAGCAAGGAGGGGAGATCTTACTGGATGGCTGCCACACAGAAAACAGACAAAATAGAGTAGTCATATTACAAGAGCTCGCAAGGGATTCAATCAGAGAACTAGCTGTACTCTGGGAAAACAACAAAGCCTTCTCAGCTTTCTCTGCTGCTCCTTTCCCTGTGGTGTCGGAGTCTCGCTGGACTGATGTTCCCTCTGAAGGTCATCTCTGTGTCTAGGCTGGAAGCCAAGCATGAAGCAAATTGTAGCAAAGACCTACTGGCTTTGTTAAGTGGCCAGAATGCCCTCCCTGACTCTCAAAACAAAGCCCAGCTTTTCACATGATGTCATCTACTTTATCCACAGCAACCACAACCAAGAGCCCTAAGATGCAGCACTTACTTTTCATTCATTTCAAGACACCATATTTCCAGCTCCATGGAATCTCCCTGTAGATAGGACAAATTTAAAATATTTGTTTTAAAAATTATTTTTAATTTCAAAGCATCACAATCAATATAAAAATATTAAAATTGTTATAGACAAGCAAAAAGAAAAAAATGGATATAAACTTATAATCAAACCAGCCTCTTCTCTAAATAAAAGTGCAATCACAGTCTATATACTATTTTGATCACTTGCTTTTTCTTAATAAACATGTCATGGAATTTTCTTTATAATTAAAAATTCTAAATAATTTATAATGGTTCCACAGTATTCTACCACATGACTATCATTTTATCCAACTAGTCCTCCTATTCTTGGACATAAATGTTGTTTCTTTATTCTTTCTTTGTATCTTTATCTCAGTGTGGACATAAAGGTTGTTTCTAATTTTCATTACTACAAACATTGTGATAAACAGCCTTGAGACTAAAACTTCCCACACAGCCTCGATTAAATTCTTTCAGCAAATTTTCAGAATTAGAATTGCTAGGCTGGGCATGGTGGCTCATGCCTGTAATCCCAGCACTTTGGGAGGCTGAGGCAGGCGGATCACGAGGTCAGGCCAACATGGTGAAATCCCATCTCTACTAAAATACAAAAAAATTAGCCAGGCGTGGTGGCGTGCGCCTGCAGTCCCAGTTACTTGGGAGGGTAAGGCAGGGGAATCACTGGAACCCAGGACGCAGAGGTTGCAGTGAACCAAGACCACGCCACTACACTCCAGTCTGGTGTCAGAGCAAGACACCGCCTAAAAAAAAAAAAAAAAAAGAAAAGAATTGCTGGGTCTAAGAGTGAGTGTCCTCTTAATAGATGGTTTTAAGATTTTGGTATGTATTTCCAAACTGCCCTTCAGAAAGGCAAAACACGTTTCAAATGAGGGAAAGAGTCTTTCCCTCCAATTCTATGAGTAATATTTTTAGGTGACACCTCCAGTTTAGGAAAGTTTGTTACCTTAACAAGTTCTTCAGTTAAAAATCTTTTAGTGCTGGGCATAGTGGCTCACACCTGTAATTCCCCCACTTTGGGAGGAGCTGAGATCGAGCCACTGCATTCCAGCCTAGGCGACAGATCAAGACTCTGTCTCAAAAAGAAAGAAGCCAAAAAGCATCAACAACAATCCAGCAAGTCATACTGTAGAAACAAATATAAGCAAAGCACTATACGAAGACTGCAGTTATATCTCCCACTAAAAGGGGGAAATTTCTAGAGCACGTGAGTCTTAAAGGATGAGTAGAAGTATATCATATGAATAAGAGGGCAAAGAGCCTATACCAAGTGGTTGGAATAGTAAGTTCAAAAACCATGACCCCTGTAATTCCAGCACTCTGAGAGACAGACTCAGGCAGTCACATTGCCTGAGCTCAGGAGTTTGAGACCAGCCTAGGCAACACAGTGAAACCCCATCTCTAGAAAATATACAAAAACTAGCTGGGCATGGTGGTGCATGCCTGTAGTCCCAGCTACTCAGGTGGCTGAGGTGGGAGGACTGTTTGAGCCTGGGAGGTCGAGGTTGCAATGAACCATGATTGTGCCACAGTGCTCCTGCCTCGGTTACTGGGCAAGACCCTGTTTCAAAAAACAGGCTGGGTGCAGTGGTTCATGCCTATAATCCTAACACTTTGGGAGGCTGAGGCGGGTGGATCACCTGAGGTCAGGAGTTCAAGACCAGTCTGACCAAAATGGTGAAACACTGTCTTTACTAAAAATACAAAAATCAGCTGGCAATGGTGGCAGGCTCCTATAATCCAAGTTACTTTGGAGGCTAAGGCAGGAGAATAGCTTGAACCCTGGAAGCAGAGGCTACAGTGAGTCCAGATCAAGCCACTACACTCCAGCCTGGGTGACAAGAGTGAAACCTGTCTCAAATACAAACAAGCAAAAAAAACCAAAAAACAACAACAAAAAAAAACCATGACCCCCTCAGAGATTGATAAGAATGTCAGAGAGGGAAGGTACAGGAATAAGACTAAGAAATGAATTGGACTCAGAGTGTGCGGAATCTTGAGTGCTAAATGAAGACACCAACCTGGCCATAACCTTACCTCAGATGTCTTAAGTGAAATCTCCACACACATAGACCTCCCGACAGCAGGCAGCTGCCCTGCCAGTGCCTTCTTTGCTTCATGTGTAACCTCTGGGATGTCTTTGATTGCTAAGTTGAACTGGAAAACAAAAGAGACTTCTGCATGAAAAACTCACAAGAAAAATTATGGAAACAGAAATTAGTGTATGTTGGGTAATGCAAGTACTGCTGTGGCTGATTAAGGAAGACAATTCATTCACTTCTCCCTTCACCATAAGAGATAATGCTGTATCAAAGCCCCACATTTCAAGTTGAAAAAGGTAATTACCATCACAAAAATTAGCTAAGATACAATTTTTGTCTTCTAAGAACTAAGCTTTTCACCTATCACTCCAGAAAATTAAAAACCAAATAAATACAAGATTAACATTCAATAAGAATATCCTTCTCAAGTAAATGGATCAAATGGAATTAGATATTTTAATGTTATTTATAATACTATAAATAGTATTACTTATTGTTACACTTGAGAACTTTACATTCATTCCTTGTGACAAACACTACAGTATACAACTTAGTAAATAACAGAATTTTACCCAGTCTGAGCCCGTTGGGGAAGAAGAAGAACGAGTGCAAATCTTTTCACCCAGTCGAGCCTGGACAATCACTTGGACAGTCTAAAAAAGAAAACAAAACAGAAAAAAAAGATGAAAAGTCTTAAACTAATCTGGCTCCAGATCAGGGTTAAAATCCTCCCAATACAGGGTTTAAAAGATGCCAATTAATCATAAGTATACTTCAGTATAGAGTACAATTTTAATTTTTGAGAACAGATAGAAAAAATACTACATAGAAAGAATAACTTTATAAACATTCCTGAGGGTACAGTGTCAACCAATGAAAGGAATTATACGTCGAGGCTTGGAAACTGTAATACTCTCATATGGCAGAAAGGAAAGCTGAGCACGGTGGCTATGACATTCATAAAGAAATGAGTCCAGGCCGGGCGCAGTGGCTCACGCCTGTAATCCCAGCTACTCAGGAGGCCGAGGCAGGAGAATTGCCTGAACCCAGGAGGCGGAGGTTGCGGTGAGCCGAGATCGTGCCATTGCACTCCAGCCTGGGTAACAAGAGCAAAACTCCGACTCAAA